CTGCATTCCTCAAGTCCAACTCTGTTGCTGCCAGGAAGTTGGTCATCACAGCTTCTGCCAAATAAGAAAAAAAAGCACAAGAAAAGCTTGACATCATTTTTTATTTATATTATTTTATATATATATAGTGTATCACCATTCAGTGTGTTAAAAAAGAGAGAAGCTCTCTGGTAAATGCTGTGTGTTTTATACACATACCTCTAATGACCGAGAACAGTGCAGTCTTTTCAAATGCCTCTTTCTGCAGCGGACCACCCCCCTTCATGTTGAATTTGGACATGAAGGAATATTTTTAAAACCCTAAAATATAATACAGATTGAGGTGGTTAACAATTGTGAACAAAGTTTGACATTTCAAAATGACCATTAAAGGAATTATTTTTTTAATTTCGGATTTGCGTTGTAACTTATTGAGTATTGACACCACAATGTTTGATTAATGTTGCACGTTTTGTAGGCTTTACCTGTCCAGCATCCTTCTGGCACTGTCTTTGAGGTTTCTTTCTTCAACTCTGCACAACTTTGACACCTGAATAACACATGCCAATGTCAGGCAGGTAGTATCATATGTGTCCGTGTACAAGTATTTTCCAGCCTTAAATATCGATGCCCATTGACCTGCAAATTTTCCATCACTAACCCTTTAAAACTCTTTATTCCAGCAGTTTAAGTTTTTCCCTATTAGTGCCCCCCACAATCTGTCTCTGCCTCCGCCTTCAAAATTGTCTGGCACAACTGACTTCATAACAGCACAGTGATAGCTGCTGTTACTAAAAAGTAGCCCAGTACACACATTAACCTCAAATGTACATGGAATAATAAATTCACCCCTACCATTTTATTACATTGTTTTCTGTTTGTACTGTTTAGGTTTTAATGATGCATTGCACATCTGAGCTATTTTAATACTGATGCAAACTTCATCATTTTATATTGCCATTTTAAACCATTTGTACTTAAGCTTTACTATCAATTTGGAAGTTTCAAAATAAATCTTACTGTAACGTTACTTGCACAATGACAAAGATATTCTATTCAATTAGCTCATGCTCTCTCTGTATCTAACAAGCCATTGTTCAGTCAAAAATTCAATATAATAATTAAAATAAATGATGGACTTTATCAAAGATGAGAGCTTTAGTGAGGAAATGTTGTTTTGGAGAGGTTTATTATTATTATTTTTACCATTGCTGCCCGGATCTTTTAAATTTTCATCCGCTTTTCCAGATTTTGAAACTCCTCCTCAGTTTCTCCAATTCTTCTGAGTGTGTTCACTGTATAAATTAATATGGATTAATCTTTGTTAAAGCTGTGTTTGTTCTGTTGTTTGATCTTTGCTCTTCTTGCACTGTTTTAAACTCGCTTGAGTTTACTTTTACTTTTACTCTATAAAATGTTGCAATTAATCCTCTGAACACATGCGTGCTGAACCGTGGGCCTAGTCACGTATCACTATCAACTTATGCTCCCTTCACTAAAATGTCACGGTTCCTAAACATGATAACAAATAATATAGATAAATAATGAACAGGTGTCAAAACAAAAACACAGATACTTACAAGACCAAGTAGGAATGTCCTTTATCGTTTGTTGTTTGCCCACTGCTCTCCGACAGGTAAACTTAGTGCTCTCTCGTGTAAAAACAAAATTC